TCAGCTGCACCCTTGTTGCAACATAGCAATCCATTTACTCATCTCCCGGTGACTCAGGATTGACTCCGGTAGCTATTCCTAACAGTTCCCATTCTCTTTAATACCTAACTCTGTCCAGTCCTCCCTCACACGCACTATCTTTAATCCCTAGCAAAATCATTTGGTGTATAGCAGGGCACTCAAGAAATAAAAGATTCCAGTAAACATACAAAGTGCACAGTTTGCTAAGGTGCCAATATTAAAGGGTTGAAATGCAAGTCAATTTCAAATGCTTCGGGGAGAGTGTGAATAGTACGCAAAATTGAAAAATATTTGAATGTGTTGTTTCCTTTTGGGAGAAAATCTAATTCAGGGAAACCACGAAATTGTTTTATAAGTAAGTAAGTTTACTGCTTTATTACTAAGAAAGATTTAAAAAGATAAAAATATAAAGAAAAAAATTCTCTTTATATAATAAATATATAAATATACACACGAGGATATATGTATGTATGTATGTATGTATGTGTGGTATACCTGTATTTCATCTTTTCATTCCATTTTCCATGAACTTTTAAAGTCCCCCATACGTATACACATGCACATACATTTATGTAAATGGTGTGTGTGTTTGAGGGGCTTAAACAAGTTAGTGGAAGAATTCCATTATCTTGTCATTCAATTTTTTTATCAGCTTCTTGAAGCTCCCTCATACGTGTGTGTGTGTGTGTGTGTGTGTATTCACACACATACTCCCCATCCCCTGCCATTGGGGCTGAATTGCTAAATGCACAAATCACTTACCTTCTCCAAGACTTAGTTTTTCTCTATAATGAGGATGGGTTAGATAATCTCAGTATTTATCTTGTCAGATATGCGCTCATTACACTTTTATGTTCTGGATTTCAGTAAACACAGTGAGAAAAGTAAACATTCATCCATGGGCTTAAGGATTTAAAATATTGAGTACAGAGGAGACAAAAACACCAACCAGTGAGAATCCAGTGTCAACCGGTGAGGCAGAGTCTATGGGCAGAAGCCCCAATGGGCGTGGCTGGGTGAGGGCAAGTGAGGGGAGTTAAGAAAGATGTCACACACCAAGACAACTGTCAGCTGTACTTGGTAGAAAGATGGATTTTGAATAGGGAAGGGCATTAAGTCCATGTCATGTTGTCTCTTACTTAGGAAGACCTCTTGCTGAGCCTAATGAAAAATTCCTGTGTCCAAATTTAGATTATTAGAAAGGAGGGGTGGAGTCGGGGACCAGCGTTTAAACAGTAACTTTCTAGAGAGAGAAAATAAACTATTAAATATCCTTATATAAATATTCTCCTATCAATCTCATAAAATCCCTTCATAAGTCATAATACCTAATTCACATGCCTTTAGCCTTCCTACATCTATAAAACAAATGATTGTTGCAGATAATAAATTAACAACTGATATATTCAGTGCAACATCTGGGAGATAAGCTATGAGATTGCGGGTTTACAATAAGAGTTACGAACTGCAGAAGGCTTCTATGAACAGAAGCATTCCGATTCAGCAGGAAAACACATTTGATGGGAAAAGAGATCAAGTAAGTAATGTAACTTGCGCCTTTTTCCTGACCACAAACGTAGATGTGCTACAAAAGAATGCAAACATCAAGATCTATAATCAAAGGTCAGATCCATTTAACAAATTCACATTGGAGCTCATTTTATAAGGCAGACATTAAATGAGTTTAAGCACATTGGGTTAGAGATGAATGAACCATAAATAGGTTATTTAAAAGAAGCAACCTAACCAAACCCACAGACAGCCAGTCAATTTGGATGTAGAGTGACTCTATTTAGAATTTCAGAGGCTGTAAATCTTCCCGGGAGCAGATAATTTCTTCTTTTTCCAGACGGGGTTGGTGTATTTGAACGGCTCACTTTGTGGCTAGCAGACCGATGCTAACCCAACCTCACTATCGGAGTGCCTTTCTTTTCTTTTCAAGAGGAAAACAAAAACTCAAAGAGCATAGCTCATAGGTTCCAAAACCACCCCCTTCTTATGGGGAAAAAAAATTACTGAGCCACCACTCCCGGCAATGAAAACCTGGTAACTACA